TTTTTTTTTTGCATGTGGGCACCTATCCACGAACGCGTTTGGAAAATGAATGGTACGGCATACATGCAAAGCAAGCGAAATGCCTGCTGTGTTTGTTGGAAGTTGAATAATTGTCCTGAGCATGCTACTGAAGTAATTATTAATTGTGCCTGTACATTTTTAAACGATAGTTTTTAACGCATATTTATGCCTAAATGACAGCTTTAGGGCCTATTATAGGCGCCTAAAACATTATTTTTTCGTTCCTGAAGTTCCGGTCTCTAGTTATGAGATCAGAACAAAGATCGCGTGCGCCGTCGCTGTCTGCTGCCGCCGCCGCAGGTGTCAGTAACTACTATTGCACGAAATATGAAAAAAGAGAGAATCCTAAGTAAACTTCCTCGTCTCGTGTGTGCTCTTCAACCAAGATGAACGCATACCAACTCGCTCAAGCTTCCATTCTTAGACACCGTTGAATTCAAATCCGGTTCGCCGGCGTGCCAGCACAGTATTATACAACTGAGCCATGCCTGTGCTTGAAAACTCCTTTGCAAACTGGCCTTATTCAGGCTTGATGTCGGGAAAGTAATCGCGTTAATATGAGTAATAAAGCGTTTTACACAATCAAAGGAACAATCAGGTCTCACACAATGCATCCGACCAGCGGGTCCTCGATTGCTCCAACCACTTACAAAAGCTTCATCCTGTTCACCTATTAACTCTGGCGCATGCCCATTTCGGGGGATGGGGGAGATTACGAAAGATTGTGGCATAATTCTTCATCGTTGTCACCCACAGCATGAACGAATTACAAACTTCCTTGCAAATGTGAAGTGGGTACTGCGCTTTTCTGAAGAATGACGAAAGATGGCATAGTTAATGCCTGCCAGCTACACATTGATTAATAGCATAGTGGATACTCTGCAAGTGCGTTTGCAGCACCTACCTAAAAAGAGGTCAAAAAAAGTCTGAAAGGCTGCTCTTTCAGCTTTCGCTGTGAGAGTGCTGCGAGTTGTGCGCCAGCCTGGCGATTTTTCTTTTATTGCGATAGAAATTATATGGACACTCGGCTAAATTTTGCCGCGGACATCGACGTCACTCGCCGTATCTGTATACGTATCTATATATATCAAAACAGAAGAAAGAAAAAAATTCTGAAATAGACTGGCGTGCGTGGAATCGAACGTGGGAGCTCTGAGTCTTGAATGCGAGCCGTTAATCACTGAGCCACAAAGGAGCTCGTCCTTCAACGTTCAAATGGCAAGCTATGAATATCTACCACTTCCTGCTGGTGATGAGCATCTCTGGGGGGAGGGAAACTCGTGTTTTCAGAATTACCAGCAAGATGGCGCAATGAGCACGCGTCGCCACATCGTCACGACGCGGCGGCGCGCGCTCTCATCTCCCACGCGTACTTTGCCCCGTGGAAAGGAGGTGGATGCTCCGTCGCGTGCCCTTATCTCGCAGTGGGGAGAATCGTACGTCTTGGCTGGCCTCGAGCCTCACCTGGAACGATTCTGTTGTAGTTACCGGGTGCACAAAGGTCACTGCAATCGTTGCACAGTCACCGTTTGTGAAAAAAACGCGCTTTTCAGACCCAGTCAAGTAAACACTCAGACGCTTATTCGCGTTCATCTGTATTCGTGAGGAAGTTTCGTGCGTTATTTATGCATGAAAAATGCGCGGCACGTGTCGATCTGCTTGTAATTCTGCCCGTGACCTTCCAATATGTTGCTATCGTGCTCATTTCTTTGCCCGTCCAGCAAGGCTGTGACTTGTTTTTTTTTTTTGTCATTGCGACATAGGGTAGTGTATCGCACGCTGGGGATGCGCGAACAGTTGCGGCCTTACCAGTCGCGCAACCGTTTGACGACGGCCGACTTTACGGTCACGGGATCGAATCCCGGCTGGGGCAGCCGCATTTTTGGTGGAGGTGAGAATGCTCGCGGTCCATGTACGTAGGTTCAACGCCTCCTAGAAAAACTATGCCTGGAACGTCGCTCTCTTTTTATTTGGGAGCTTCCTGCCAGCACGCAATCTTGGAGGCCATGTTTTCTGCCGCGTGTTGCGAGCGTCCGCCGTGTGGGAACGCTCGCTTCCGCACCGCTCTAGAATTACTGTATATGCTACCTAAAGGTAGCATATACAGTAACTCCATACTGCTCAGTCACGTGATATTACCGTGCCGCTCTGTCACGTGACATCATAGCTGCTCGGAGGCAACTGAGAGAGCATTGTTGTGTTTACATGGGGCGGCCGCCAGAGTCGTTCGCCTTCGTACCGGAGGGCACCCGAGGGGGAGGGTAAAGTCCGAGGGTACGGCAGCATGCTCGCGGCTCACGTTCTAGGCATAATTTTTTTTTTGGGTGGGGGGGGGGGGGGGCATTGGTAGGTTCAGGTGTGCGTTCAGAAGCCCCATGTGGTCGAAATTTGCTGAGCCCTTCACCGCGACATGCTCTCATAAGCATATCGTGGTTTTCGGGAAGTTCAACCCGAAACGTTGCTATTATATTTGCACGACTGATTGCTTGACTTAGTGTGCAAAGTATTTTTCCCAACTTCATGCCCTACAAGCATGCAATGGCTTTCGCATATTTATGGTTTGTGAATACAGTGCACATGTAACGCATGCGGCGAGTTTTGGCAATCTCGGTGATTTCTCGCTGACTGGATATCCAGACTTATCATTGCAATGTGTTTAGTATAGTTTCCGCATTTTTCTCGCAATATACGAATGCCACTGTCTGTTAGCCTTTACTCTTGCATGCATTAGTGCTCGGGCAGTTGTCAGGTGCATTCTTTGTCCTCAGGCTTGAAATAGCTAGCCGTTCTGGCCCTTCACTTGTCATTCACATGTCTCTTTCTAAGCTGTTTGGCTATCTCTGTAAATAAACACAGCCTCATAACTCCCTCTATATTGGTCCTTGTATCTGCGCGTTTGGCCTTATCCTTCGTGGTTGGCCTATTCATGCACGCGCCGACGTGTGCGCTCTCTCGTTTGGGCGCTCAGCGTCTTCGCTTCGAAGCTTCAAGCCAAGGTGAGGAGTAGTAAAGAAGAGGGTAACAGCGCATTTTGGTTTCCTCAACATTTCCTCCTCGTGCTGGCACTGAAGGAAAAAAAAAACCCTTAGGCGTTTTCTCTTTATCTTTTGAACCTCCTAGCGCTTCGTCAGGCAGATTCCGAACATTCTCCGCCTTTCGAATCGTCCAGCCCTTCCCTTTGTGTTCCGCATATCTTGGTCTCCAGGCACATAGGTGCCGCCGTGTGGCCGCTGTTTTTAATTAAGCCCCTTAATGAACGCTGCTCGTTTTCGAGCGCGCTCCTTTCCCTAGTCATTTTTTCTCCCTCTCTCTCCTCCAGTTCACGGGGTTTCTCGTTTCCGAAAACCGAGTGAATGGTTCGGGAGCAGGTGCGGATCTTGCCGATCCTGGAGGACCATAGCTACAGCTCGAGAACAAAACGACGACGCAGAAACAAGAAGGGCACGAAAGACACGAGCGCTCGTGTCTTTCGTGTCCTTCTTGTCTCTGTGTCGTCGTTTTGTTCTCGCGCTATAACTATCGTCATGCCACACCAACTAGCCCAAGCTGCCACACCTGGAGGACCGTTCGGTGTACTTTTCGTTGTTCGTTTATTAAATGCCGAACACCAGACACTGGTGTTCCTTATTTATTTGCTCTTTGTTTGTTATTTCCTTAACCTCGTATACGATGACACAATGAGCAGTGCGGGATCCGGCATCGTTAGCACGGAGGGGGGGGGGGGGGGATTTCTCATGCTTCGTTCCTTCTCATCCGGGGGTTCTTAAGAAAAACACCTAAAAAGAACAAGTGCAGATGGAGAGAAATGAATTAAGTGATAGTAAGAAACAGAAACTGAGAAACGAAGGGAGGATAAAGGGGGAAACAAAATAAAAGGCGATAAAACGAGTACAGAAAGAGAGAGAAAGAGAGAAATAGAGGGTGTAGTAACAAAAATGAAAAACGAGAAAAAAACACAAAGAAGGAAACTGATGGAGAAAGAAAAAAAAAGAATAGAGGGCAACAGGGATGTTTTCCCATTCAAGGACATGAAAATTCCCTGCTTCGAAGATTTTTCCCTGCAAACGTTGACAGAATTCTCAGCATACTTCTCTGCACAACAGTACTAATTTCCGTTCCATCTACGCACACACATCCTATATTTACACGTGTCTCACGTACTGGCGACCTTTGAAATTATTACTAGACCTTCCACTGCCGCACAACAAAAGCATGACTTCATTAATTTATATACTGTTAGTACACTGCACATGTGGGCTTCATGTCTAACACAAATAGTGAACTATAAATCGCTTCACGTAAATATTAGAAACAAATCTCAAAGGCTATACTTGCGTGGCGCATGCGCCAGAACCTATTATGGTAGATGTAGGCGTCCTGTGACTGCTAATTATCGGTCGCCATTGAAGAATGTAACCATTCCTGAAATTCCCTGCAATATCACGAAGATTTCCTCTCTCCCTTTGGCTCAAAATCACTGGTGGAAATTCCCCGAAACAGGGAAAATTCTCTCCAAGGAACATCACTGGAGAGCAATCCTGTAGCCCTGTATAGTGTGGCATAAAGGGGTGAAAAAAGAGTGAGGGTATGAAGGGCAGCGCGAAGAGCTCCGCTTCTTCCTCACGTTATCGCATCACCGATTGATGCATTGATTGATACTTTCGCAGCCGTGTACATGTGTACACGTCTACAGCGATTTGTGTGTTTTTATATATTGATTAATTAGCTGGGAGCTGTGTACATCGGTACACGGTTAATTTAAGTGATTTTAATGATTGGTTCGTAGCCATGTTCATCTGTGCACGAATTGATTGATTGATTGATTGGTCGATCGATTCATTGATTGACTTTTGACCAACATTGCCTTGGTTTTACTGAATTCTTTAACCTCAGAAAATGTGATTCTTCTAATGTGACTTTTTTATGTGGGGCCTCCAATTTCTAACCGCCTTTTTTTTTGCTTTTTCTCTCACATGCAGTCGTTGGAGAGGACACGGAATATGATAGCACTATGCGAAGAGGTAAGCGATCCTTTTCTTGCCCTTTTTTCAGTGTTGTTTTTCATCACTTTTCTGTGTGTTTATGTGCATTCTCCTAGCGTACGTGTGTGACGCGAGGTCCCGATACACGTGCCATGTATGTAGTTTTGAAGCACTTCCCTCCACGGCATGTTAAACCCTTTTCCGCAAGCCTCTTAAACTGAAGGCTCGAGGGCATAAGCCGTGCAGGACATAAAGTACCTCGCCAGTATAATGTCGCTTGCGAAGCCCTTCACTTCTTACGCCCTTTGGCTGCTGGCTGGCTACTGTATACTGTGGAATAAAAAAAAGAAACTAACTAAAAAGAAAGCCAACACAGCTAAGAGGCCAATACTAATTTGATTTCGCCCTCTGGCCAAAGTATCGAAAGCAAACCAGAATATTATCGTGGGAGGCCGGTGATGAATTTTTTCATGCTTCAGCCTTTTCTTACCTTTCTCCGTTTATATAGATACTCGAAGAGTAAAACAACTTTAATATTTTGTTGCGTCCTAAAATTAACACGGATACAGGTTAGGCCCATATTAACTTGTGCCGTACTATGGGCAGTATTTGCTGGATTCGTGCCCGTTTAAGTTATTTTTTTTTTTCGCAAAGTATACCGCTGCCTTGACGTGTGTAAGTCATTTATGCGGCCGTCATTTTGCTTTTGTGACGTTGGTTGTGATTTCCGAAAACCTGTTCACGTTGTGGCAGCGTGTTGCTTGGTGTTTGCTTTCGAAACTAAATTTCTGTAACGTTATCGAGGGGTTACCGATATTTACGAACCCTATTGCTGTGCTGATTTTGAGGATGTGTGGTAAATTATTGTGCAGAAGCACTGGTTGCGCGGCAAACGTTGGTGGAGCGTGAATCATTCGAAAACGTGATATTTTTCGCGTTGCTTGTAACGTGTTGTCACTAGGTAAATTACTAGCATTGCGCACTAAAAGAAAAAAATCCTATTTATTATGTAGTCTTTTGCTGTTGGGTGCACAAATAAAGCCGCCATCTTCTGGAAACATAATGTTCAAAGAAAAAAAAAATGTCTATAGTTGAGCTGGTCGATCCGTCTGAGGAGATTAGTGAAGTTGAATCTCGTGGTTACATGTATGTTTTAATGTCGTTAGTATATATCAGGTGCAAATAGATATTATGTGGTAATTCAACGAGCAAACAGCAGTAAGAGTATTATACAGTAGGTACACTCTATTTCCTACTACCAATATTCTATACGAATTTCAGCCTTCGTGAACGCTAGCATACTGGCGAAGTATTTCCATCCCCTACTTATGGAAGGCCACATGACATACAGCCGCGAACAATATGAGGTGGACCAACATACGTCTGTTTGCCAACGAATATACTTGCAATGTACTGATAAGAAGAACATAAACTTTATTTGTCGAATCCAGACGATTCGAGTCTAGCGTTTTTTAGTGGGCCTGGGCACCCACAGCTGATGCGGTTCCGAGACCTTGTCTGTGACTTGTGTGACTTTTAGAAGGTACCTTCAGCGTTCCATCTCGTATTGTTAACGACTGTACTTCTAACATTAAAACGTTGGCTTGACGAACATTCTGTCCAGTAGGACGCGTCCTGTAAGTGTGTTAACTATGTGCGTTATCTGCATGGTGCACCGGCTGTGCTCCACTCTTAATCGGGTCCTGCTTAAATGCTATCCCGGAAACAAAACGAAAAATGCCGAGTTTCCTGGCTAAATCGGGCTCTATAAACGCGGCTTGGTTAATAGTGTAAGTTCAGGGTTGCCTTCTGCGCTGAGTGTCGGCGTTCTGGCTCGGCTGAGTTTGGGTTTGTATATGATCATCATTTTACCTCACACGAGGGCGCAGCAAATGTCCCTTCTTTAACTTTTTGTTGATGTATTTCCTTTCGCGAATGACGCAGTGCGTTTGTTGACGGAGCCTGCTGGTTACGCACTCATACATGCAGAAGGTTCGAGAAAAAAATGTTGCACTAGTTTTGTTATTTTGTTCTTTTCTCGCGTTAGCCGTTTGTTACGTTCCGCTCATTATTGTTTGTGAAGTGTTCCTTCTTTGTCATTGCGGTAACTTCTTTTATGACACTACATAATTTGTAAGCACACTGTGTGCGTGTATTCGTGACGACATGTTAATATGCATATATCAAGGGCAGGGTTACTCGACCAAGATACCTTTCATTAAATAAAAGCAGATAATATAAGCGGTTACCTAATATATTGTGGACGGTATAGACAGTTTTATAATGGGGCACTATATGCTTTGCGTGCGCACTTGGTTACGTTTGGTATCCTTGCGCTTGCGTCGTGCGCGGGCCTTTACAGTATCGCTTTACCTTTCCAAAATAGCGTGCGTATCCAAACGACACAATACCTGAATACCTATTCGAAAACGCTGTACTGCTGCCCCTGTCATTTTTTAAATTTTTTTATTCATTGCAGCGTCGATTAAGAAAGCCTCCTCGCACAAGCTTAGGAAGAGAGCTTATATTTTGTGCAGCATCATGGGTCCTTTCGTCATCAAAAATGACCTACACCTTGTCACAATAGGCGTTTGTTCTTTTCGTCCACTTTCCTTTCTTCATACTCACCAAAAAAAATTTAATAACAGCTCCTGTACTTTTCTTGACGTTATTGTACGTTAGTTTTCATTAGTACTGTGTCCAACACAGGAAACGAGCCCTTAAAATTTACACATTCCTGCTTTAGTTATTAGTGGTTTAAACTGACTTGTTTTCAGTATTCTATTCGCAAAAACCTAGTTAATACTCTCATTTAAACGCTCTTAGAACCAGTACTCGAGATATATCTTATTGCGTCCGAGAAGTTGCTTATCTGAATCAGTGATTCGTGTACAACACATTGTACACGTGCGCGCTTGTCAGCAGACGTGGTCCGGTCAGTAACCGTCTGAGCCGGGATTTTCGACGACGCATTGAGACAATAAAAGAGTTGCCCCATCAGCTTTCTTTTTGACCCTTTGCAAAAGAAACAAAAAGTGCAGGAAGAGAGCAAAACGCTAAGAGGAGGGTCTTCATCCTGTTAGCAATGTCGCGTTGCATTTTTCGCTCGCAAAAGCTTTCCATCTCCGAAAAGCGCTCGGCGCAGCAGACAAAACTGTTCAGTGAACTTGTCCGTCAGCCCGGGCCGTTTGCGTACCTGGAATACCCAGTAAAGCAGGCTTTCCTCTCGCGTCCGATGCGATTTGAATGTCGTGTCGTCCGAAGAACTGGGTGGGTGACTTCGTGGAAGCCTTTTGTTTGCGGAGCTCAACAGAATCGACAACAAAATAAATCGAAACGCGTTCTTTGAATAGTACACGCAAGGTCAAGTATGAGCTTTCGATCGGGTGTGTCGTATATAAGCTGGCGATAAAAATGCGCTTCACTTATATAGATGGCTGAGTTTAATACCGTTTACAGCGCTTGTTTAAAATACGTAATAAAAAAGGGGGAGGCGTTCTTTTTTTTGTTATGTTTTATCTTCCCAGCCGTGATCGATCTCTTTCTTATTGTTTCAATCGGATCAAGAAAGTGAAAAGAAAAAAAAGAAAAATAAATTAGACTATCTTGGATTTACTTATTTTATTGCCTGTCATTGTAAGGCCTCTGCTTTTGAAAACGATAGGGCTACTTAGACGCGAAAAATTGGCCCCGTATCTGCATGTTACACTGCAAATGTCGTCGAGAGTCTTGCGTCTGGAGAGAGTGAACAAAACGTTTATTTAATGATCTGCGCATGAAAATAGGCGAATGGTATTCCGGAGGCGCAGCGTTAGAGTGCCTCGAGCCTGCAGCGGAAGGCGAACGAGTGCATCAAGTCACGTCACTCGTGTGATATGAGCGCCATCTGGCAGTTATCTTGGAAAACGAAGCGTGCGCGCCCGTCTCTGGGGTGGTGATGTGTAGAACGAAAGGCGACGGGTAGGTGTCGCCGCCGTGTCGTCTTAGCAAAGCGTTGAAAACGCTTACCTTTCGTGCAAGCCTTGCATGGTCAGCGCAGCGTGATAGACGCTGTGGTCCTTATAATTGCTTATGTATGTCTTCTCTAGTAAAAGATATACATAAAATACCGACGTGTTGTTATGGTGCCTCGGATATGCGCAATAATTTCTTTTTAATTGACAATTGCACAAGTATGAACGCTGGACCTTGAGCAATATTCGTGGGCGGTGCTGATGGGGTTTGCGGTTTGGGGTATCGGCCGGTAATTCTGGTGGCTTTTAGGGCACCGTTAAGGGTGAACAAACAGACATCCCGGCTGCGGCGGCTGCATTTCCGATGGAGGCGGAAATGTTGTAGGCCCGTGTGCTCAGATTTGGGTGCACGTTAAAGAACCCCAGGTGGTCGAAATTTCCGTAGCTCTCCACTACGGCGTCTCTCATAATCACATAGTGGTTCTGGGACGTTAAACCCCACATATCAATCAATCAATCAATCAATCAATCAATCAATCAATTGAACAAACAGACAAATGTACAGATAGGCAGACAGACCAAATTTTTCGCGTCTAAGGTCCCCGAGAAAGGCTATCGTTGTTAAAATTTTTGTCTATCTGTCGGTACGTTTGTGTGTTTGTCCACCGTAACGATGCTCCAAACAGCCCTAAAAATGGCCGAAACGGCCAACCCCAACCGCAGCGCCGACCAATATTGATCAATTGTCAGCGTTCATACTTGTGTGATTGCCAATATAAAAAGCAATTATTGGGTATATCTGATGCACCTAACAACACGTACATATTCTGTATGTGCGTCTTTATACTAGAGAAGGCATACATAAGTAATTCTAAGGAGCGTAGCCCATATCATGCTCTGCTGACAATGCGACGCTATGCTCGAAAAGGCAAGTGTTTCCAACGCTTTGCTAAGACGGCGTGGTGGTGGCACCCGCCCGCCGCTTTGCGTTCTACATCTCATCGCCTCCGAGACAGGCGCGCACGCCTTCCTTCGTTTCGAAGATAACTGCCAGATACCGCTTGTGTCTAAAGTGCCTAGATGCGC